GTCTTATACATGGAAAAATATGGTACTTAGCTCAAAAAGCCCATGTGCCCCTTAGGTAGACAATTTTGCTATGTTTGGGAGGTCTTCAGAACCTCTTCCTCCCACCCCCTTCAAAAACAGAGGAGTAAATGTGCCCCTCGAGGCATGAGAGGAGGGTTTCCAATAAAAATAATCCCTCTTTTCAGTGAATATTTTGAGTGGTAGGTGGAGTACAGGAGTATGGACCACTTTCCAAAGCCAGTGGGGTGCATCACATATCTCCCAGGCCAAATTCTGATGCAAGGAAAATTGTGAGGGAATTGAAATACTGGATATTGGCAGCAAAGTGGGTGGATACCAGCCCTATCCAGACATTAAACTACTTAATTCTCGGACCATGATTAGAGGAAAGAGTCTAAATCTTATTCCCTTCCTTCATGGCTTCAGTGCCAGGTCTGAGGAGAAGAAAGATTTTACTTGCCGGCAGACTCTACTGTACATGAAAGGAAGAACCCACATTTCCAGGATTCTTGTTTTTGACTTCTATACTGCCCCATGGGGCTTGGATCACTCTCTGGACAGTTTGCAACTTAATTATGCAAACAGTTTGCCGCCCCACCTCCGTGTCCCCATTGTGCTGAATATTCATTTGGATGGACCTTGGATGATTCAGCCTTGAGTCGGCTATCTGAACCTGTCAGGATTGAACTCATGAGCAGAGGCTTGTCTGCAGTACTGCAGTTCACACATGGCACCATAAGGTTTCTTGCTGGTGAGCAGAGTTTACCTATGAGCAGGAACCTGGAGTTGAATCCATGAGGAACATGATGACAGAGGGCACTTCCCTCTACAAGTTTTCACAGTGCTAGGAAGTATAGGCCTACTTGTTTCACCTTCCCTCACCCCGATGTTCCCTCCTGCCGGCCAAAAATGTAAAGGGAGGATGATGCCTCCACAAAGAGGGGGCTTGGCTATATGAGGCCATTGCAATGGGGCTCATCTGTACCGATTGCTCAGTCTCATGCCAACCCCTTGGGTGGTTCCCCAGCACTGGAAAGGACAGAGTCGCCCAGCTGATAGCTACTGTACTTGGTATGTTTTTATATGCCGGATGGCTTCCCAGCATGTTATATTCCCAAGCTTTCAATGGATAATATTTTAGCAGTGCCCTAGCTGTTTTATTGGTGGTCATTATTTTTATGACTGCTGATTGTTTAATGGTTGGTCTTTTTGTTTTTTATTACTGCTCTCTCATTTTTTTTTGTTCAGTGTTTTAATTGATTAGTTCCAGACTTCTTTGAAAGCCTAGTGGGCATGGAGCATCCCTTTTCAACAAGAGCATCCATAAGGCCATGCTCCTTGCCATCAGAAGGTCATATGACACCTGTGGGTTACCTTGCACAGGAGCCTAACTTCTGATCAACTTGAGGATGTAGCATGAAGTCAATTTTCTGACGGTGCTGCAGGATTGGGCCACATGTGACCTCCAGATCATTCTTGTGTCTGTGCCCACTCATGTCAACGTGGCCTCTAGGGCTGTGAGGACATTTTTTGTGTGTTCGGAGGGCCACCCGGCACCCCGGATCCTCCCCCTACTCAATTCTTTTAGCCACGACGGAGTGCAACAGGGATTACAAAACCCGCCTTTTTAAAAGTTCAACCGATTTTCAATGAGGAAAAAACCTGTCACAGTGACTTTTACAGTGCCCAAGTGTGGCATCCGCCCAGGTTATGAATATTCATGTGCTATCTGCATAGACCAAGGAGAGTGCTGGAGAGGCGGGGTCATGAGATATAAGAGTCTCTGCAGGAGGAGGAGGGGTAGATGGAGAGTTTAGAGTGGAGGATTGGTGGTTTTGGAGTTTGGGGTGGATAGAGAGAGGGTTGGCGGTTGACAGTGGATGAAGTTGGATGTTTGGTCAAGAGTTAAAGACATTGATTGTACCTTCATCATGTGTAATAATAAGCAACTTCTATTTGGTTCTATTTAAAATGACACATTGCCTGGACCTCTGTTATTAATAGAGGATATAGGTATATGTACATGACAGTAACCGTAAAAAGGGTTTTCAAGAGATCTGACATATTTAAGGAGTAATTTGTCACCGCCTTACCCCTCCCAGTCAGCTTTCATGGCTGAGTGATATCTGAACCAGTTCTCTTGAGTCCTGGTCCATGACTCTGTCCACTACACCACACTGGGTATATCCATTTCTTAACCTTGTGGTACGGTGGTTAAATTGCAATCCTGCAGTCAAGGCTCTGCTCATGACCTGAATTCAATCCTGGAATCACGTACCCGGCTCAAGTTCGATTCAACCTTCCATTCTTCCAAGGTTGGTAAATTGAGCACCCAGCTCGCTGTGGGGGAGGGCAATGTGTAGCCTGCATAATTACATTGTACAATGCCCAGAGAATGCTTTAAGCCCTATGGAGAAGTATATAAGCAGCACACTTTGCTGTAATGTACTTTCACCCTATCAGCACCACTGAAACAGCATCAGTGAGGTCATATGGAAGCCATACTAGCTAGGGAGGACAGAGAGGTGCAGACCAACAAGCAACTTTTAAAAGCTCTGTACCAAACTGCAGAAGCCTTTGTGCTGCAAGGTCGGAAGACCTTCACTTGTAAGATTGAATCCATGTGATGGAGTGAGCCCCCATCGCTTGTCCCAGCTCCTGCCAACCTAGCAGTTTGAAAGCATGCAAAATGCAAACTGCGAGTAGATAAATAGGTACCACCACGGTGGGCAGGTAAATGGCATTCCGTGTCTAGTCACGCTGGCCACGTGACCATGGAAAATTGTCTTTGGACAAACACTAGTTCTATAGGTTGGAAATGGAGATGAGCACCGCCCCCTAGAGTCGGACAAGACTGGACAAATTGTCAAGGGGAACCTTTACCTTTACCTTACCATAATTGTGCATGTAAACACACACACACACACACACACACACACACAGAGCTTTCTTGAAATATGTCTTGTCTCAGAAATCATTCCATTTGTGAGATTTATGGCTCATGGGGGGGGGAGACCATACAACCACGTGTAAGTTTGAAATATGTGTGCAACCAAAAAGTGTATTTTTTTAAAAAAAGGTGCTCCAACTGTTCCGAATCATTAGGAAAAATATATTCCAACATCCATTACTAGAAATGCATACAAAATTGTGTACCTTTTGGCAGCACACAGAAATGAGTGCAGATGGTGGCATGAGAAGACAAAAGGAAGAAAAAAATGTAATCTGATACAGCATTGGGATGAGGCATGGATGCCCATGGGATTCTGTGAAATACATTGAAAATAAAATGGACCATTTTTCACATCTCTGCAAGTATGCTAGGGTCAAAGCAGTACATCTGTGGGGAGTTTTGAACATGCAGAGATGTTCCCCACTGAAGTTTGGCTTTCTTTCTCTATGCCAAGTCTCCACAACCATCTCTTCCCCAACCCAATCCCCTCCAGCTTTATAAATCTTTGCTTATTTCTTTCTCGGAGGCAATAACAAAATATGTACATATTTTTCTTCTCACTGGGCAAGTTTATGAGTATTCATGCATTGTCCAAACTTTGAAGGTTTTTTTGTGAAAAAATTATGAAAGCATCTTTTGTGCGAAAAACATTGCATTTTGCACAAATTTTCTGCACAACACAATATCTTCATGCAAAATAAATCTGCAGCTCTTTTCTCTTTGGAGGTTGATCATATCCTTGCTCTTTCAACCCTGTGGATACATGGCTCTATTCACAGTCCTCAACCTGTATTTTTCATCTTTCCCAGAATGAAGACTATCAGCCAATAATTTTAAAGCTGTTTATCCTTGATAGCTTTCTAAGCATTAAACCCAGCAGTCAACTAGCCTCCAGAATGTGGGGTGCTAATTACACTGCAACCCTTAGAAAAGCAATTAAACTCTCTCAGGCTGGCTACTGATGTTCAGTTACCTGGTTACACCCATCAGCTTCCTATGGAGCTTTTGTTTTTAAAAAGCATAGAATGCCCTCAAGGGAGAAGGTTATAAGGTAAAAATCTTGCAACAACTATTTAGAGTAAAACCAATAATGAAATTGGCAGGAACCATTTTAGTGGGCAAGACAGACTGATCACATTACGGCTGTATATGTATGGCCATCAAAAGTGGTTTGCACTGTTAATATTTTCCTTGATCTAGTTATTCTCAAGATCTGGTTTTACATTTCCTGGAAATGGGAGAGAGAGAGAGAGAGAGGGAGAGAGAGAGAGCGATTCCATGTGATTTGATATTTGAGCTTACTGGATAATTCCTTCTTATTGATCTTTCCAAGTAATAGGATTGACCCATTCACATATCTGTACGCTACACCACAAAGCCTGCCCTGAAAAAAGAAAAAGCAATAGACTACCATATGCAAGGGCTAGAATACAAAGCAGTGAGAAACGAATCAATAGCTGTATGTAAGAAAGTTCCCTAATCATAGGAGGAAATTTAATTTTGCTTTGTCAGGTTGTAAATATGAGCTCATTTCTCAAAAAGACAAGACACTGTATGAAGAATTGGTACCGCCAATGGAGATGTCCATTCCATTATTTGTCCATTTTAAATGCCACTAGAACATGAATAGCCATCACCAACCACCCACATGAATAAAACGTCTAGTCCTAGAGAAACATAAGAAGGTGTCTTATAGTGTGTAAGGTCATTGGTCCATCTAGCTTTGCATTGCACACTCCATGGATGGGATGAAGTGTGGCTATCCAGATGCTAATGGACTGCAGTCCCCATATCTGACTTAGCCAGCATAGCAGTGGTGAGGGACACTGGGCACTGGAGAGTCTTATTCCCCCCCATCACTTCCTACAAATACCAACAACATCTTTGCATAGTTTCCAACAAGAGCTTTTTTCAGTGTTCTCCAAATGAACATGCAACCTTTTTCATGGCTGGGCATTGGAGAGACTTATTCCCCCCATCATTTCCTACAAATACCAACAACATCTTTGCAGAGTTTCCAACAAGAGCTTCTTTCAATGTTCTCCAAATGAAAAGGTAAAGGTAAAGGTTCCCCTTGGTGTTCCACCACTGTACATCTCCCTTCACACTTAATCAGTTTGCAATTCTTTGTTGTTATATGCCACCAGGTGACTTCGAACCTACGGCAACTCCACAAATGAGTGACTCCCAAATGCCCTATCATTAACAGCTCACTCAGCTCCTAGAAACTGAAGGCCATGTCGTCCTTTATTGGGTTCATGAATCTCAAATTTGGTCTTCTCCTTCCCCTCTCCCTCCATCTTTTTGTAGCATTGTCTTTTCCAGCAAATGTTGTCCTCTCATGATGCATCCAAAGTATGACAGCCCTAGTTTCACCATTTTTGCTTCCAGAGAACGTCTAGACTTGATTTGTTCCAAGATCTACTTGTTTGTCTTTCTGGAGGTCCATTGAAAGATGATTTGTTCCAAGATTTGTTTGTCTTTCTGGAGGTCCATTGAAAGCTCTTCTCCAGTATTGTATTTTGAACAAAATTATATTTTTCCTGTCGGTTTTCTTCACTGTCCAGCTCTCACATCCATGCACAGTAACTGGGGACACAATGGTGTGGATGATCTTGATCTTAGTCTCCAGTGGTATATCCTTACACTTGAGCATTTTCTTCTCGTTTCTAAAGCCATATTTCATAAGCAATGGCCAGAATCCTGTCATTTACACCCACTGGGCTTTACTCAATTGGCATAACTTTCAGCAGTGAACTGTTGTCAGTAAAGAAGTTGGGGTAAACATTTCCTATCACATGCCAATCACCTGACTCAGTTCATTAATAAGAAATGCCTATGCTGACTTCTTAAATTGCAGTAATATTGCTGCTAGATGTTATACTGAAACTGAGGCTGTCCTGTTCTGGGCCAATCATGAAAAGGTAGAATTCTCTGGAAAATACAAGAATGCTGAGAAAGACAGCAGGAAAAGAGGAAGACTGAATAAAAGATGGACTGATTCCTTAAAGGAAGCCATGGGTTTGAGTATACAAGAGCAGAGCAGAACAGTTGAAGGCAACACATGTTGGAAATCTCCCATTCATAGGGTCACCAAGAGTTGGAGGTCAGTTGATGGCACATACTGTAACAACAATAATTCTGCCTTTATTATAAACTTCATTTCTTATCTTTGCATCTCGGTGGCTGCTCCCCAACTTCAGAATTCTTCATCAAGGGACACGGGCTCCTTCCCAATTCTCTTTAACTTGACTGGCCAAGATCTTTCGTGAAGGAAGGTCAGGTGGTCAAGGAGGGCAGAGAAAACATTGTTTTGAATGATGGCTGAAAGCACTTTTTATTCTCCCAAGCATTTTAATGGTTTGCGATTTAGATGTTGGAGCAATTATACCTGTGTTTGTAAAACTCTGCTGTTTTAATGGATACATAATTGTGCCCTTTGTCCACTTGATTTTAATTGGGCTGTGGAATATTATTCTGGTTTTCATTTTAAAATGTCATTAAACTAACCTGGGAAAAAACATCACAAAGGTCCGGTAAATATTGTCCAATACATAAATAAACAAATAACTCAACTGTCCACAGACTGGCACACTGATGTCAATCAAGGTCTCAGTCTGGGGTCACTATCAATCTGGTCCTCTTGGTAAACTTAACCATGAGTTGAAGGTGTCTGCAAGTTTGGTTTCACCTTTGCTTCTTGAAATGCCCTGATAACCAACTTTGAAAGGGAACGGAAAAAAAAACACCTTTCTGAAATGCTTCTTAAGGATAACTTTCCCATGCTCATAGGAATATCAATCATCCTGTTTTTCACTTAGAGACGGTTTCAGAAAACCAAAGTTCACTGCTCTTCAGAATATGAATCCAATCTCCATGAATTATTTGTAACATTAATTTTGCTCTTTATTTCTTTTTCTTTTCACCCCATCTTCACCCCAATAATTATATGTGCAAAACACTTTATGCTGACGACGTCTCTTCTGTATTATAAAAGTTACCTCCACTGGATGGAGAGGTGCAAGTGGCAATTGAAAATGTGGTCAGAACAATGTCAACCGCTGAAATAACGGACCGGCTGTCCAAATAAAAGAGCAATATGCAAATGAACTTTTATAAGACAATAAGCACTCTTGCAGAGGGACTTATCTGTGTAAGGATGATTTATATCCTTATGACACAAAGAGAGATCTCATATACAGTACCTAACAAAAGCTGATCAACTGTTCAGCTAAGAAGCACAACATTGCCACTGTGGCAAGGTAACCAGATGGGGATGGGTGACACAAAGAGAGATCTCATATACCTAACAAAAGCTGATCAACTGTTCGGCTAAGAAGCACAACACTGTCACTGTGGCAAGGTAACCAGATGGGGATGGGAATTTAAAAGGGAAAGAAAAGGGCAGGAATTGATATGAACTGTTGGATAGCTCAGTGGATTAGGTATCTGGATGTGAAGCCAGAAGCTGGGAGTTCAATTCTCCATTGTGCTGGACTTAAATGATAGGGTCTCTTAAAGCTCCACAGTTCTGAGATGATGAAGATCAAGCATTTCTGTTCATTCTTTCTCCTACTCTTCTGCTTATACATTGTCATCTTTGGGGGACATAGAAGGAGCCTCCTCAAATTGTGGAAAAGCATTGTGAGTACACTTCAGCATTTCCTGGGCGATGGCATGCAGCTGGCTAATCCTTCACTTCCAGAAGTGTTGCACTGCAAACTTGCTGATCTGTGCAACACTCAAGCATGAATAAAGAAAGAAAGATTGTCAGCTGTTTCTTACCATCTGAAAGGGTCCTGACCGTCAGGTCTTCAGAAGATACTCCAGGCCCATAACGATTGTAAGCAAGAAATCGTAGGGTGTATTCTGTGAATTTCTTCAGCCCTTCCAGCTTGTATGATAGACCATCAACTTCTATATTCTGTGCACAAAGAAAACCACAAAAATTATTACTGCAGAAAATTATACAGATCAGATCGTGTTGCTAAGGGCTGAAGTAGGCATTTCACATCTTGTGTTATGTATTCATATATTCCAACTATGTTAACTTTGCAGTAGTTCTCATGTATACTGGTCACACCTTAAGCAATATTTATTTATTTTGTGTCAATTATAGGTGATCTTTCACCCAGTTTTAGCAGTGCACTTCCTTGCTTATAATATGGATAATCTTTTGTATCTCTTTGTTAATATGTCAAGCAAACTCCATTGGTCCACATGTTTTCAAGGTAGGCCTCATCTAAGGGTTACTTCATATGTTATACAGCTCTTCAAGTATGTGTTGAATAAAAATAATTATCTCATAATAAACTTCGAGCAGCCTATTTGTTCTCTTTGTCTTTCTTTCTGTGGATAGTAAGATGAAAGAATCGTTAAAGTACCATTCATTCTTGATAAAATACATGTGAAGTGGCTTTAGTTCATCTCCATCTTCCAGAAATAAGATCCTTGGTATCAGCTTAAGGATGCTCAAGGATTTCATTTTGTCTTCATTTTTAAGAAAACCAATTCGATTCATATAGAATTAACATGCGGTTTGAAATGGAGTTATCATTCCATTTTTGCCCTTCACAGTTCTGTTCCTAACTTTTATATGTACGTACGTATGTATGTATGTATGTCTTCTGTTCCTAACTTTTATATGTATGTATGTATGTATGTATGTATGTATGTATGTATGTATGTATGTATGTATGTATGTATGTATGTATGTATGTATGTATGTATGTATGTATGTATGTATGTATGTATGTATGTATGTATGTATGTATGTATGTATGTATGTATGTATGTATGTATGTATGTATGTATGTATGTATGTATGTATGTATGTATGTATGTATGTATGTATGTATGTATGTGTGTGTGTGTGTGTGTGTGTGTGTGTATGTGTGTATATGTATGTATGTGTGTATATATTTCATTTATGTTTCAAACTGAGATATATATATAAGATGAGAATTGTATCCCAAATTTGTGTTAAGGGCAAAAATGGAATGAAAACTCCATATTAACATGTGGTTTCAAATGGAGTTATCATTCCATTTTTGCCTTTAACACAAATTTGGGATACAATTCTCATCTTATATATATACCTCATTTCGAAACATAAATGAAATATATATGAAGTACACCCTTTGAATTTTTCACAATGCCTCTGATGTAAGTTTGAAGGAATGTTTAAGGCGAAATAGGCTCTAACTGCTTGGTACTGCTTGGAGGGTGAAAAAAGGAGTATGTATGTGTGTGAGACCAAACCTGTCACCAGCCAAGATCTCTAGAACCTGCTCCAGGATGTCCACACTTGATGGGAAGGGTAGCTTCTACTAGGAAGCCTAGGAAATTCTATGGAAAGGGTACAGTGAATTCGGATGTATGGATTTACTAATTCTCCCTCTCTTGTTTTTTTCCCCCCACCTCTACATTCACACATTTGCTCACCTGTTCCTTCCCGGTAGCAACTTCTGTACAGTAGAGTCTGTAACCTTGGACTGGACCATTTGCATAGGCAGGGGGTTCCCACGTGATAAGAATTGAGGTAGGTGAAGTAGATACAGCCCGTAGGTTTTCTACTGGTCCGGGAACTTGCACTGCATCAAAAGAACCAGAAAGCAATATAGAAATAGTTAAAGTTGGGAAGCCATTCATTTTATTATTTGTTTCACTGCAGCTGTTGTGGTGTTGTAACATAGACCGACCCCTGCTCACAAGGAGCTTACGGTCTAGAGACTACACTGAGAAGGACATAGTGTATGTGAAACAAACTATAGGTTTAATATTACTATAGCTGTTGTATTTGGATCTGTTCATCTCCCGCTTCAAGTTCATTTCTGCTGTTTCTACAATGCTATGTAGATTTTAAAAAGCCTTCATGAAAATGCCTATCCATTTCGCCTGCTCCTCTCAATCCAGGTTGCTAAAAGTAGCCACACCAAAGAAGGCCAAAAAGGTGAAAATAAGGAATTATTTTTTTTCAGTGGTGGCCCCCCATCTGTGGAATAAGCATCCAATTGACATACACCATCCTCCTTGTCTCCAGGAAATCAGTGAAGACAGACGTATACAACACCACCTTCAATAGTTTATCCCTAAATGCTGTGTTCTTTTTTTAACTTTATTTTTATTTATTTTATTGGAGTTCTACCCTGCCCATCTAGACCAAAGGTCTACTCTTTAGATCTTAGACCTATATCAGAGAATTGTCATTTTGATTGCATTGTTATAAAGGGTTGTGTGGGGTTCTGAATTGTTCAATTTGCAAACTGTCTAGAGTAGTGTGTCCATCAGAAGGGTTGTATATAAATCAAACAGAAAAATAACTTTTTGTGAGGATTACTTGTGAGTGTTTCCTTGCATCCTGAATATGTACATACTTTTCACTAAAATATGCATTTTTGTCCACCTTCTCCCCTGCCACATGCATTTTTATGTACATTATTTGGAGAACTGACACCATCTAGAAACATATTAATATTGAAATATAACTGCATTTTGATCCAATATATCGGTTGAGGAAGCGTATGTGTGCAGTAAAAATTCAATTCAAATTCATCCCTCTCATCCGTATACATTACCTCTGTATCTTCAAATGCATAAAGGAAGTAGGAATAATATGTTTGAACAGTGGGAATGATATTGCTGGCTTGTGTACCTGATAATTTTCTCTCACAGAAAGCAGAGGAAGGAACTAGGGGATCAGCTGTTCTGGACTTGATTCTAAGCAATAGAGATGACTGGGTGGGTGAAGTGGCAGTAAGGGGATCACTGGGGGATAGTGACCATGTTCTATGGGAGTTCTTGATTTCAAAAAGGAAAAGGGGATTATAGGAAAGCCTGTTTTACTAAACTCCAAACAATTATAGGTAAGGTCCAATGGCAGGAAATTCTAACGGGCAAAAGAGTCTAAGATAGGTGGGAGTTTCTAGAAAAGGACATTCTAAAGTCATAACTACAAACAATACCAACAAGAAAAAAAGGATGGAAGACAGCAGAAAAAAACAATGCGGCTTCAAAAAAAGCTCAGAGACATCCCGAAAACAAACACACAAAAAGGGCACATATAGGAAGTGGAAGGAAGGCCTTCCTACAAAGAAAGACAAGTAGCAAAGAATTGCAGGGATGGAGTTTGGAAGGAAAAAGCTGAGAATGAGCTGATGTTAGCAAAAAATGCTAAAAGCAACCAAAAAAGCACGCTTCAGGTATGTGCACAGCAAAAGACAGAGAAAATAAACCGTGGCTCAATTGGGATGGGAAAACAACAATGGCAAAGAAAAGGCAGAAGTGCTCAATTCCTACTTCAGCTCAGTCTTCTTCCAGAGGATAGTCTATGCTCCTCCAGGCCAATGTGAATTGCAAAGGGAGGGAATAGGATTTCAACTTGAGATTGATAAAAAATTGTTGTGGAATACCTTACTACCTTAAAGCAGTTCAAATCTCCAAGGCCAGATGAACTGCATTTAAGAGTATTAAAGGAACTGGCCGAAGAACTTTCATTATTTTCTATTATTTTCTTGAAATCTTGGAGGATGGGTGAAGTGCTAGATGACTGAAGGAGGTTTAACGTTGTCCCTATCTTCAAAAAGGGCAAAAAAAAGGAAGAATCTGGGGACTACAGGCCAGTCAGCCTGACATCAATCCCAGTGAAAACTCTAGGGCAGATTGTAAAGCAAAGCACTCTCCAAGCACCTTGAAAACAATGCAGTAATAAGAGAAGTCATTTTTTGATTGGGTAAACTCACTGGGCTGAAAACAACAGAATGAAATTAACAGGGACAAGTGAAAAATTCTACATCTAGGAGAAATGAAACCCAATGCAAGGCTACAAGATGGGGGATGATACTAAGAGTGAGAAGGATCTTGGAGTTGTAGATCGCAAGCTGAATTCCTTCTGATGCAGCTTCAAAAAGGGAAAATGTTATTTTAGGCTGAATTCACAGAAGTATAATCTCCAAATCATGTGATGTACTAGTTCCCCTCTATTTGGTACTGTGGTCTCATCTTGAATACAGTGTCCAGTTCTGGATACCACACTTTAAGAAGGCATACAAGTTGAATGAATGAATGAATGAATGAATGAAAATACTGACAAACTGGAGCAAGTTCAGAGGAAGACAACAAAGATGATTAGGGGATTGGAAACCAAGTCTTATTAAGAAAGACCAAAAGAACTGGGCATGTTTAGACTCAAAAGAAGACTGAAGGAAGGTATGATAGCACTTTTCAAGTATTTGAAAGACTACCATACAGAATCTGATCTTGATCATTCCAGAGTGCAGGGCTTATAATAATCAAGCTAGGAATCCAGATTTCAGATTAATATCAGAAAAAGAACCTTCCTGTTAGAGTTAGGATAGAACCAATTATCTTGGGAAGTGGTGAGTGATCCAACATTGGAGGCATCCAAGAGAAAATTAGACTATCATCTGTTACATTTACTTTGATTTGGATTCTTGTTGAGCAGAGGCTGGTCTTAGCCATGGCAAATTATATAAACCTTAACTGTGCAATTAGTAATGGTGATTTATTCAGACCTTACCACTTGGATTCCAGTTGGTATATTATCAAGGGCATAATATAAAATTCCCGATGAAATTTGCAGGTGAGCGATGGTGGACGAATGAGGGTTATAACCACAGGTGGTCCATGGTCCAAAGAAGGGAGGGCTTGCCCCAGACTTTGGGAGTGAGGCTCATTCTCAGAGTAGGAACCATCTCTGGTTGTAACCCCAGAATTCCTACCCTATCCCACTTCCTATCTCTCAATGCTCAAATACAGAAACCCATCCGGAGAGGTTGAGGAACACAAGGATAAGGAGTTTAACATCACTTTCCCTCACTCTTCTCCTTCAAATCCCAATCCATCCCCACTTTTGCAATTGCAGCTCTTCAAAAAGATAAAAATAAAAATGCTATTATTATATCTTTGTCTGCCGGCACACATTTCCTTAGGCCCCAACCTGAGCGTCCTTCAGAAGCTTGTTTTAGGACTGTATATGAGGGCAGTGGTGGTGGGAAGCTATAATGTTACTTTATTGTGAGCAATTATCATTCTATTCTCCTAGAGGACGACGTTACACTTTCATGTTATTCTTCCTCCCCTTGGGCATGTGGATCTGCATAATCCAAACTGCACAAGTATGTAAATAAATGGGTGAAATTCATGCTGGATGTCCTATCAGTGTTTTTGGTTCCATTTAATTCTCATTTTGACTCATCCTCAGTAGCATGAAACAGAGAGAGAGAGAAATACACCAAACAAAGAGAGGAAACATATTACTAGTTTTGCTCCCTGCACAGCCTTTGAATATAAAAACTTAGCTATTGATGAAAAGCCGACAGCCGCATGTCATTAAAAAATACAAATGGACTATAAAAGGCATTTAATATTAATATTCTGGTGTAAAATCAATACACTTAGTATGATTCTCCCCTGCCTGAGTCCCCAAGGCTGTCTATTTTATTATAAGATGGATAGTTGAACTAATGTACTTTATTTCTAAGCACAGAGTCTTCAAGTAACTTCATGGATTTCCATGATTAAATAACAATTTATGGAATATTTATTTATTTATTTGATTCATATACCTCCTGTTTAGTGGAACGCTGGCTGGATAGTTCAGTGGTTTAGTATCTGGCTGGGAGTTTGATTCTCCACTGTGCTTTCTAGAAAAAAAAGCCAGCCTGTGATTCCATGGGCAAACGGCACAGTCCCAATGCTGCCCTCAGAAGAAGAGTGTAACATATAGCCCTGCTCTCACCTGTCTGTCACAGCTGGGTAGTGGAACATCAACCAATGAGGGGACGGAGGGTGGTGCAAAAGGGGGAGGAGATGGAATATATATAGGGGTGTGTGATGTGGGAGAGGGAGAGATTGAAAGACTGAGAGATTGAGAATTAGTGATTAGCATGTTAGTAGGCCTGTGAGTCAAAATAGTCAGTGAGGGAGAAGTCTGTGTGTGATTTAATGAATGAGAAACAGTGATTTACAACTTGATTATCTACCTGTGATTTACTCATTTTATTTTATTATATCAATAAACAAGTTTTGTTTTGGAAGAAACACTTGTCCTTTTTGAATATTAAATATAAGTGGTGGCAGCAGTTGAAGAAGAGTAGTGAGCACTCCTGGAGGCCTGAATTGGCAGAGGCTTCAGTGTGCCTGCTACAAAGAGTATGGGCGATAAACTCTTCTGAGTACTCTCTACTTCGAAAACCCTGGAAACAGTTGCCATAATTTGGAATCGACTTCACAGCATGTTGTTGTTGTTAAAGCGGAACACTACTCTATTGGTTTACAGATTAAAACATTGAATATTAACAATTATGTTGTCTTCTTTTCCCCTTTTGATTGAAAAAAACTGTCCAGCTTTTTCTTATCACAAATTTGTGTGGCCCAGGAATGCACAAAATCAGTCTCTGTTGTTGTCAGGCCACTGGGCCATCCCGAAAGACTGTCAGCCTTAGCACTGAGTAGAAATATCTGAGCAGATTTTTCTAAGGACACAATCCTAACTAGCAAAAAATGCCTGATGGTGGGCTGAGCTGATATGCCCGAGACTCAGCTGCATCCAATTACTCTCAGCCTAGGAATGCTGAAAATGCCTTAAGAAATACCCTGACTCTGGCTTAAGAAATGCCTTAAGAAATACCCTGACTCTGGCTTAACTTTGTCCCAGCATAGTGGCCAGGAGTCTGGGTTAAGAAGGGTTCAGGTCTGATAAGAAAGAGGTCTTCTTGCACTCCTTTACTCCTCTGCTTCTTTTGCCAATTGACCTCAGCTAGTTGCCCAAGTAGATCCAACTGAGCTGTCAGTTCTGGGATCTGTCAGCA